GTTTCCTTGGGTGGTAGCACAGAAAACTCCAGCAAGCCCTCTGTTCATTTGTCCATTCATTTCTTTTATTCACGTGTAACCTACATACAGTAAACTATATCAACCTTAAGTGGTATATAGTCTGATGAATTTTTATTTATGTATACACCCAAGATATATCTACCACTCAAATCACAATAATAAGACATTTTTAGTGCCTCAACAGGCTTCCCTGTGTTCCCTTCCAGTCAATATCTCCCCCCACAACCCGAAAAAAAAAACACACCATTCTTACCTATATCACCGTAGATTAGCTTACCTATTTTTGAACTTCATATCAATAGAATTATGCATTTATACTCTTTTGTGTCTGGCTTCTTTCTCTTAACAGTATTTCTGCAAGACTCACCCATGTTGTGTGAAACAGCACTTCATTCTTTTGTTGTTGTTGTGGAGGATTCCATTCAATAAATATGCCTCAATTTATTTATGAATTTTCCTTCAGATGGATATTTGGATTGTTTCCAGTTTTTCATTATTCTAAATAAAGCTGCTATGAACATTCTTGTACACATCTTGAGCATATATATCCAGGAGTAGAATTGCTGGGCCTGTGGGTGGACACGTGTTCTCTTTAATATACAGCATCAAACAGTTTTCCAAACTGATTGTGCCCGCTTATACCACACCAGCAAAGTATGAGAGTTCCAGACGCTCCACAGTCTCAACCATTGACATCATTGGTCCTTTTCACCGTAGACAATCTTGGGGATGTGTGTTTCTCACTGGATTTAACTTGCATGGCAGGGAGCTCTCTGTTTTCCCAGGTGGAATGCTGCTGCCAGGGAAATGCCTTTCATAGGGGAGGTATTTTGAGGACACAGGAGGGAGAAGGAGGGGCCGGGTAGAAATAAAATTCGCATGCAGGTGTGCACACACATGCACAATCCACTACAGAGGAAGCTATGCGGGGACTGGAACATCTCAGAACTGGGGGATAAACAGGGACCCAGGCTGGGGTAGATGGATGACCAAGCAGGGACAGGAGGAAGAGGAGATATGATTTCTGAGCATTTGGAAGGAGAAGAGTATTAAGTCAAGAGAGAATAGGGAGCCCACAAATCAGCATTCTGGGGCTTTCTATGAGGCCCATAGGATGATGGATCCCAAGCAGAGAGGCCATGTCTCATTGAGTCTCACCTGAAAAAACTCTTCCTAGTAAGGAAGGGAGAACTCAGGCTCTGGCAATATGAGTGGGGCTCACCCAGTGAGAACCCAGGGCTGTCTCTCCCCCAGGCTCCTCTGTCCTTGGGCAGGAGGGAAACCTGTGGCTGGAATAACTGAAGGGAAGAAACATGTGTTCTGGAAGCCCACGGTGGGATACCTTTTGTGCCCCATCTCAAGTCCTCTCTGCCCCTCTTCCTACTCCAGCCACTGTGCCGAGGCCACTTTCCCAGGAGCAACCAGGCGGTGTCCTGCCATGTGCCATTTGCTCTCTGCCCCGGGGATGCTTCTGGGAGCTATCCAGAAACACTGGACTGGGAAAGTTAGTCACCTATAGAGCAACCCATAAACCATGGGGATGGGAGCTGACCGTTCTCAGACATTTCATAAGTCTTCTCAGAAGGTCCCACAGGATCAAGCCACCAGTCAGCCATAACAGGGGCCAAATAGATAAGGCATCTTGGTATTTTGAGTCCCTTCTTCCCTGTCCTCCTGCCCGTTTCCCTCACCCCTGTTCATTGGACTGTGTTCCTAAATAAATTATTCAGGTTTGGCTTTCAGGGAAACTGAGCTAAAACAGATTGGCGAAGATGTAGAGAGAGGCTTGCGTGGGGGTAATGGGTCACTCCATTCAGTTGGAATATAGGAGTGGGGAAGGAACCACCAGCAGGAGATAAGGCCACAGTGTGCCTTGCGGGCATGAGGTGGAAGACATTTCCTGCCATGAGTGGGAGGTTAGCCTTTATTCTAGAGACCATAGGAAGCCAGTGATGGTTTTTGAGTAGGGAACTGGCAACACTAGAGCTATTCAGGTGTTCTGATTCTTCCTGATTCAGTTTTAGAAGATTGTATTTCTCTAGGAATTTGTCCATTTAACACAGGTTCTCCAATTTTTTGGCATATAGTTGTTCATAGTGTTTTCTAACATTCTTTTATATTTCTGTGATGTCAGTTCTTACTTCTCTTTCATTTCTGATTTTATCTATTTGGGTCCTCTGTTTTTCATGGTGAATCTAGTTAAAGGTTCATCAATCTTGGCACATGCACAAGAAATGAAACTAGACCACAAACTTACATCATACATGTGAATACACTCAAAATGGATAAAAGACTTACCTGTAAGTCACAAAACCATAAAAATCCTAGAAGAAAACATAGGCAGTAAAATCTCAGACATCTCTGGTAGCAATATTTTTGCCAATTTATCTCCTAGGGCAATGGAAACGAAGGAAAAAAATAAACAAATGGGACTACATTAAACTAAAATGTTTTTGCACAGCAAAAGAAACCATCATCAAAATGAAAAATGGAGCCGAAGCCAGTTTGGCTCAGTGGATAGAGCGTCGGCCTGCGGACTGAAGGGTCCCAGGTTCAATTCCGGTCAAGGGCATGTACCTGGGTTGCGGGCACATCCCCAGTGGGAGATGTGCAGGAGGCAGCTGGTCGATGTTTCTCTCTCATCGATGTTTCTAACTCTCTATCTCTCTCCTTTCCTCTCTAAAAAATCAATAAAATATATTTTTTTAAAAAATGAAAAATGGAACCCATTGTATGGGATAATATATTTGCCAATGTGGCATCTGATAAGGAGTTAATTTCCAAAGTATATAAAGAACTCGTGCTACTCGACGTCAGGAAGACAAACAATCCAAATAAAAAACTGACAAAGGACCTGAATAGACACTTCTCCAAAGAGGAAATACAGATGGCTAATAGACATACAAAAAGATGCTCAACATCACTAATCATCAGAGAAATGGAAATTAAAACCACAATAAGATATCACCTCACACCTGCTAGAATGGCTATCATAAAAAAATCAACAAACAAGTGCTGGTGAGAATTGGAGAAAAGGGAACTCTTGTGTATTGTTAAGAGGAATGCAAACTGGTGCAGCCACTGTGGAAAACAGTCATGGAGTCTCCTAAAAAATGTAAACTAGAACTGCCTTTTGACCCAGCGATCCCACTTCTGGGAATATATGCTAAGAAGCCCAAAACACCAATTCAAAAGAATATATTCACCCCTATTATTGCAGCATTATTTACAACTAGAGGCCAGGTGCACAAAATCCATGCATGGATAAGGTCCCTAGGCCTGGCAGGCGATCAGGGCTGATCTGTGGGCAACCCGTGGGAGGGGCGATCAGGAGGCCCCCCTCTGGCACCCGCCTTGTCTGTCCTGGGGCCTGCGGGCTGGGGGCAGCTTCTGCATTGAGTGTCTGCCCCCTGGTGGTCAGTGCACATTGTAGCTACCGGTTGTTCCATCATTCAGTCAATTTGCACATTAGGCTCTTATTATATAGGATAGCCAAGATCTGGAAACACCCCAAGTGCCCATTAGTAGATGAGTGGATAAAAAGGCTGTGGTTTATACAATGGAATACTATCTGAGCATAAAAAGAAGGAAATCTTACCTATTGCGACAGTATGGATGAACCTGGATATTATTATAGTAAGTGAAATAAGCCAGTCAGAGAAAGACAAATACCATGTGATCTCACTCATATGTGGAATCTAATGAACAAAATAAACTGAAGAACAAAATAGAAACAGAGACATGGATACATGGAACAGACCGACAGCTATCAGAGGGGAGGGGAGAAGGGGGAACTGGATGAAAGAAGGTTAAGGGATTATCCATAAAACATAAATACATAACACCTAAACACAGACAACAGTGTGGTGATACCCAGAGAGAAAGGGGAGCCGGGGTAGGTTGTGTATATGTTCCCCCATATCCTGCATAGTTCAGGGTTCAGGATCTGGAAGAGGGGCCGCACATAAATGAAAGATACTAGACAAGAGATAATAATTTGGAAATTGGTGGGCCAGGTGAGAGCCCATCCCAAGAGGATGGATTCCACTTGTGCGCAGGCCCTGCCATCTTTTTATTCAGTTTGGGATCCACCCATAGCCCTTAGGCAGGCAAGTTCCAGTAACAGGCAGACTACCTTATCAGTAAGGATTTACACGACTATCTGGTGGGCAAGTTGCTTCAGCTACCATTGTCTCCACTAAACAGTGGGTGCACAGCTCTGAGCTTTGCCAGGGCTCCAAGGGTCACCAGGATTCCGGGCTCCTCATCCACACCTCTCTGCTGGAGAAGACAATAGGCGGCTTCCCACAGTAGGTGGAGGTGGGCAAAGGGGGGTGGAAATGGGAATGGAAAGGGACTTTGCTTTGGGAGATAGGCGCGCAGGCAATGTGCAGATATTTTATTGAGTTGTACACTTGAAACCTGTATGGTTTTTCGAACAAATGTCACTCCAATAAATTAAATTTTAAAAAAAATGTGAAAGGGGAAAAAAAAATCTCCCCTCTGCACTCCCATTTTACACCTTCTTTACAGTGTATGGGACAGATGTAACGATTTAGTTACCTAACTCCTAAGTTAGTCCCCCTCTAAAATGCGCAGACCGTCTGTTTCATTAAGGGTGGCAGGGGCTGTGGTTCCTTTCTTGTCCTGTGATTCCTGCGACGCAGGAGTGGGACCCACCCGGGTGACCTCAGGGGTAGGAGTGAAGCCACCAGACGCAGCGACAGCACCCAGACCACCTGCACCTCTGCCCGGACTACAGACCAGGCTGGGCCGGGTAGCACCGCCCAGGAAACGTGACCCCACGACGGGGCTCCCCTTCCGGTCTCAACACCATTCAGCTTCCGGCGGAGCGCGTACAGCAGCTACAGGGTCTTGCTTAGCCCGTAACAAAGCGGGACGGGGTAGCCCCGCCCACGCGGGCAGAGCGCCAGGGCGGAGCTTCCGGTTACCAGCCCGCCGGGCGGAAGAGGTGCGCGCTTCCGGCTGTGTGCGAGGCGGCCGCACACGCTTCCGGAGTTCAGGGCTGGACCCGTCCCTTCCGGCCCGGTCCGGTCCGGTCCGGCAGAGCCCGAGGAGCGCGGCTGCCTCTCCTTGCGGGACGCAAAGGGACACGCGGAGTTGAAGTGTGGCGGGTGAGTTTGGCGGGGCTGAGGGAGGCGGCAGCCCAGGCGGGCACTGAGGGGCCGGGGGGAGGGCGGGAGAAAGAGAGAGGGAAGGGAAGGGCCGGGGAAAAAGTGTTCTGAAGGCCAAGGGAAGGAAGTCTCCGCAAGAGCGGAGTGTTGCCCTCGGTTAAATGCCATTGAGATGCCTTGAGGGCTACTAAGGCCCAGATGAAGGTATTGGATTCGGCTAAGAGCAGTTCGTAGGGACATCGTGCCCCACTTACACTGAAGCCCGGAAAGTTTCAGATTTGGCAGTAGAGACAGCGTTTATACTTGAGGAAGTATAAACTATGGGGGTTAATAGTTTGGCCACAAAGAAGGGAATGAAGCTGCTGGGCATATACCCAAGTGCCTAGAGAAGAATCCTATCCCCACATGGGGCCAATGAACTGGTCGAACAAGGTACCTTGGGAATTTCAGGATAAGAGTTTTATGATGAAAGCATCTGTAGAAAGGAGGAAAGATGCTGCAAAAGCATCAAGAAATCACAAGCTCTCAGGACTAGAAGGAACTTTAAAGTGGAATCTAAAGGTCTGTGTTCTATTTTCTGCTTTTTCCTTAATGGTGGCCCAGGAGCCATGTGATCTTGGACAAGTCATTTGTCTTCTCTGGGCTATTTTTTTTTTTTAATGGATATTAGATTTTATTAGATTAAATTTTGGAAGTTGTTCTCGTAGTAACAGATTGTGATACTGGTTGGCGTTTAATCAGGCGGTATTTGTCATCTCTCGTTCATAAGAAACAGTGAGTTCAAAGGTTGAGCGATAGTGGGCCTTCTAAGTGGACTATTTAAAGTTCCGAGGGCAAAGCAGGATCACCCAGCAGGCACAGCTCTGAGAAAGGGACACACACTGGGCTGGGCAAGAGGAAAAGAGGAAGTGGCGGTTGCCGTTTTATTTAAAACTTTTAAAGAAGTTGTTTGCTGCCAATAATTAAATAGCCCAGAGGTTAATTCAATCGTAAGACTGCCAAACGGGACTCTACTATAGCTGATTAAAATCTTTTAAAACAATTTTCTGATTGAGATTAGCTTTGATTAACATAGCCCACATAGTTAATCAAAGCCAGTGGTTCTCAACCTTCTGGCCCTTTAAATACAGTTCCTCATGTTGTGACCCAACCATAAAATTATTTTCGTTGCTACTTCATAACTGTAATGTTGCTCCTGTTATGAATCATAATGTAAATATCTGATATGCAGGATGGTCTTAGGCGACCCCTGTGAAAGGGTCGTTCGACTGCCAAAGGGGTCGCGACCCACAGGTTGAGAACCGCTGGTTTATAGAGGCGAGGCATGCTTACTGCCCTCCTGTTACCTGCTTTCAGGATAACGAATTAGTCCCTTAGGATTTCAAAAGGTAAGTTATTAACCCAAAACAAACTCTTGGCTTTATAGGTTGATTAGTTTAGATCTATGGCAGATAGTATTCTTTTTGATGTTTAAAATGTCCCATTTTGGGGTCTCTGCCTCCAGACCTACCACGTCCAGTCCATGCTAACTGATTACTAAGTAAAGAGTAAGGGGTGTAAGAGAACAGTCGGAAAGCTGGGGTGATCGTCCAGGTGCCAGAGATTGAAACCTAAACCATTCAGTACCTTGGCGCTTTAGGACATTTGTGGATGAGCATAAAGTACAACCAACCTCCACATCCGAGTATGACGGAGTAGCTTATATCACACTAACCCTCCGATCGATAGTATAAAAGCTGAATAAAATACTTAAAGCAACTGAAGGTTTTAGAGAAAAATCAAGTCAGACAGGACTTGAAGAAGGAAATTGCTGGAGAGAATGTGGGAGCACTTAGGCAAGTCCCACATTTGCGTGGGCTTCCCTCCTCCCCGCCCCCCCCCCCGCCCCCCCGAATATTTGCTAAGTCTTAGAGGGAGACCAAGCTGAAAGAGGTGGCCAGGGCTTGTGGCCTTTCAGTTGAGCTGGGAAGAAGGAAGTTGGAGTTCAGAGATGCCATGGTGTCTGAGATATGGTAGAGAAGTTTCAGCTCATGAAGGCCAGCAACTCTTGTCCTGTAGCGTATAAAAATTCCCATCACATACACATAAGGCTTTTTCATCACCAGAAGCAGAATGAACATGAGCCCTGGCCTCTGGTAGGAAACACAGCAGAATCGTGAAGGACTGAGAGTAGTTGGTAAAGATGCCTGTTTACTTTATTCTAATTAGGAGGCAGAAGTCCAGTCCTGGACTCTGGTGCTGTGGGGGGTGGGCGGGGGGGCGTCTTCGGGGATGGGGAAGACCACTCTGACCAGGAAGGGAGTACTGGACTGGGTGGAGGGAATGCTCTACTATGACAGGTTCCATGAAGTCCTCCATCTGAGCTACAGAGAACTGTACCAGCTGATAAAGATACAATTTGCTGATTGGATTGCCATGATTGGCCTGGCACCCAGGCCTCCATCCAGAGATCCTGGCCCAGGCAAGAAGCTCTTGTTCTTCCTAGATGGGGTTGATGAACTGAGATTACTCTGTGAGGAGCACACAGAGGATCTGTTAAGATGGGGCAGAGCCTCGGCCGATGCCCCTCCTACTGAGAAGATGGTGTGACCCCACAGTCACTACCCAGACCACCACAACCCACTTCATGCATTCTCTCTAATGTGCTCAGCCCAGGCGTCTGGGTGGCCTGAGGATCTGAGGGGCCCATGCTGTTTAGCTGCTGAGAGAATCTGAGAACAGGAAATCCTGTGTAATAAATTTCAGACACATGAACTAGATTTACAATTTCCTGAATGTAAATATGAAGTGTTTCAGAAAGATGATGACTTTGAAAACTGTAGTTTTATCCACTTGAATATCAGGGGTTTGGGCAACTATTTTTTACTCTCAGGGAATAAACAGGAATAAAATATATTCATATCTCTTCCTTTGGAGATCTGAAAAATCTACTTGAAAACTTTGAAAGGCACGATCCAGTTTTCAACCTTAACAGTAATTTCTTCTTTGACCTCCAAAGGTGAAAAAGTTCTCATATAAGATGTCACAGAGTTATACAGTTGAAATTACTGCAGTGAGTAGAAGGACAAGGATATCAACATTTTCATGCAGTAAAAACACTTACCTAGTTCTCTGAGGCCCAAAATGAGGAAGTTTGTGAAACAAGCAATGGATTTGCCAGTGGGCATACCAGTGTACCAATCCATTAATATTTTTTCCAAATTAAATGTCCAGAGTTTTGCTTTCCATATTAAGCACTGTCATTTTGTGCAGACAATAGCTCTAAATTTACAGGGAGTATTCAGGTTAATTTTTTTCTCCATGCTTCCTCCCAGCTTCCTGAGCTCCTGCTGTTCTTTTTCCCCATGAAGATCCATGAGACACTCCTCAGGTGAGTTTTAGTCCATAGCTTATATTTCAGTCTCAGAAATAAGTCCAGGCCTATTTAGAGGAATCAGTAACAGTGACCTGTGCTCCTGCCTACCTGTCTGATGGATGACCTCCCTCCTGAGAAAATCACATCCTGGGCATGCTGAGGCCTTGGGTTTCCCCTGCCTGAAGCTCGGTTCCCCCCAGATGGGCTCTTCTCATCATTCTCGGATTTCTAGGATGTCACCACTTAGTTTAATGGAAATCTATCCCCTGGGAGCCAGGAGAACCGAGTTACTGCATGAATCTACTTTTTTTTTTCCCTGCAGTTTATCCAGTCACTTTCCTATGGCCTCACTGAGCTGCTGTGTAGCTCCAGTGGCAGTTGTCCAAGAATTCCCAGGACTGAGGGGTTTCCCAGGAGGCAGACTAGAATGCCAGAGCAGTCCCAGGCAAACTGGGACAAGTTGGTCCTCCTCTTAACAGTGGAGTTTGTAGTCTGTGAACTAGTACATGTGTGAAGTTCTTTCCCTTTTTAGGAAATTCTGGGCTGTTAACAATAAATGTGGGAAGGTATCTGAGGAAACAACTCCTGTAATTAAGTGACAGCTTCATGTAAGCCTCTCTTCTCGGAGACGAGGAACATTAGAGCAAGAATTCTCTCAGGGCCTTATCTCCCCTAGGTATGACAGGATTGTGTGTCGTTGGATAGTAAACTGTCCTTGAAGCTAGTGTTTTTAATGCCATGGTTCCATGTTTTTCTCTTCATTTGTTACTGAGCCTCGAGGAAGTCTTGTTAAAGTGGGCCAGTGCAGTGACAGCTGATAGATGTGGCACTAGGAGCTAGAGGAAGTGGTGACATGTGGCCCCTTAGGCCTTCCTGAGATCTGCCAACTCTGGTCACTGTTGAACTCATAATCATCTCAGATTTTTCACTTTTAGCTAAACATGATGTGCTTAATTTTCATTTTTACTGAGATGGTTTTCCCTCATAGTTAGTGTTTTAATGTTATGGGTGTCTTTTTTAATTATTGCTTCCTTTTTTTCATTTTTTAAAATTTATTCCTAGAAAAAAATAGGTTGCTCTCAAAGTTATTTTATGTCTCTCTGTAATTACTTCTGTGAGAAGGTTCATCTTCTCCAGACACCTTTTCATCTGAAATCAGTAGCTATTCTTTCTTGTATTTTGGTGACCAAACACAAGAGTTTGTTTATTTCATCCAAATTACTTCAAAACCCAGGAAACAAGTGTGCTTTAGGAAATTGGTAAACTGAACTTTTTTAAGGCTACGTTTGTTCATAGAAATTCTTTGAGGTTCTTACAGAAAGCTTTGCAGTGCAGTTGTTTGCCTATTAAAGTCAACAGTTGACTTCCAGTATTCTACTCATGATGGATGTTTCCTCTTCGTTCAGGATCACCTAAGTGGGTCGGAGCATCCTGAGCACTAGGTCATGGTGGAGACGCCAGAATGAGAAGGCGCAAGAGTTCTGGTCCTCGTCGACCAGCCGCCCGGGTGACCTGTGGTAGGCCCAGGACAGGGACCCCTGTGCCCACGGTGCCTCCGCTCCCACCACTCCCACCCCACTTTGCCCACAGAGGCCTCCAGCTAAGGTTGGTGTGACCTTTGAGGATGTCGCCGTGTGCTTCTCCAAGAAGGAATGGTGCCTCCTTGATGAGGCTCAGAGACACCTGTACCTCGAAGTGATGCTGGAGAACTATGACCTCATCTCCTCTCTAGGTTGCTGCTGTAGAACAGAGGATGTGGAGGCACCCACTGAACAGCATGTTTCTGTGAGAGTGTCACAGGCAAAGAATCCCAATGTAGCTTTGTCCTCCCAGAAGAGCCACCCCTGTGAGAGTTGTGGGCCAGTCCTGAGAGACATTTTCTACTTGGTTGAGCAGCAGGAAACACAACACAGCCAGAAACTGTTGAGGTGTGGGGCATGTGCTAAGCAGTTTTATGTCAGCACAAAGTGTCCCCAGCACCAGGAGCAGCACGTGAGAGAGATGCCTTTCATAAGAGGTGTGGACAGGGCCTCACATGCCAAGGGCTGCCGTTTCAATGTGTTCCAGAAGCCTTTTATCTGTGGGGAGATTGGGCAGCACGTTCTCACCAGCTCAGGACATATCCAAGAGCAGGCTGCTCACACCACAGATCAGCCAAGTGAAATGTCAGCATCTGGGGTGAGTTTTCAAAGGAGAAAAAATGATTACACCAGGAAAGAATGTAAGAAAGCCTTTGGCTGTAACCCAAACACTTGCTCAGGACCATGGTGTCTGTACTGGAGTACAGTGTTTTACGTGCCGTGAATGTGAAAAATATTTTACAAAAATCTCTGATCTCCTTAATCATCAGAAAGTTCACACAGGAGAAAGGCCATACGAGTGCAGTGAATGTGGAAAATGCTTTAGACAACACTCCAACCTTATTCTACACCATCGAGTTCATTCTGCAGGAAAGTCTCATGAGTGTGGCAAATGTGGGAAATCCTTTAGCCAAAGTGCAAGCCTCATTCAACACCAGAGAGTTCACACTGGAGAAAAGCCGTATGAGTGTGGCGAATGTGGGAAATCCTTTAGCCACAGTAAAAGCCTCATTCAACACCAGAGAGTTCACACTGGAGAAAAGCCGTATGAGTGTGGCGAATGTGGGAAATCCTTTAGCCATAGTGCAGGCCTCATTCAATACCGGATAGTTCACACTGGAGAAAAGCCGTATGAGTGTGGCGAATGTGGGAAATCCTTTAGCCACAGTGCAGGCCTCATTCAACACCAGAGAGTTCACACTGGAGAAAAGCCGTATGAGTGTGGCGAATGTGGGAAATCCTTTAGCCAAAGTTCAAGCCTCGTTCAACACCAGAGAGTTCACACTGGAGAAAAGCCATATGAGTGTAGTGAATGTGGAAAATATTTTACCAGAATCTCTGGCCTTTATCGTCATCAGAGACTTCACACTGGAGAAAGGCCTTATGAGTGCAGTGAATGTGGGAAATCTTTTATCACGAAGTATCACTTGCGTTGTCATCAGAGATGTCACACTGGGGAAAGACCTTATGAGTGCAGTGAATGTGGGAAATCTTTTATCAATAGCTCTGGCCTCCGTTGTCATCAGAGATTTCACACTGGAGAAAGGCCTTATGAGTGCAATGAATGTGGAAAGTCTTTTATCACTAGCCCTGGCCTCCGTTATCATCAGGGATTTTATACTGGAGAAAGGCCTTATAATTGTAGTGACTGTGGGAAAGCTTTTACTCGTAGCAGTGCTCTCCGTTATCATCAGAGAGTTCACACTGGAGAAAGGCCTTTTGAATGCAGCGAATGTGGGAAATCATTTACCAGGAACAGTCACTTGCGTTGTCATCAGAGAGTTCACATGAGTAAGGCCTTATGATTGCAGCAAATGTGGGAAATCTTTTACCAAAAACAGTCACTTGTGTTGTCATCAGAGAGTTCACACTGAAGGAAGTTTTTATTTTTTTAAAATATATTTTATTGATTTTTTACAGAGAGGAAGGGAGAGGAATAGAGAGTTAGAAACATCGATGAGAGAGAAACATCGATCAGCTGCCTCCTGCACACCCCCTACTGGGGATGTGCCCGCAACGCAGGTACATGCCCTTGACTGGAATCGAACCTGGGACCCTTGAGTCCGCAGGCCGACGCTCTGTCCATTAAGCCAAACCAGTCAGGGCATGGAAGTTTTTAGTGTAGGAAACATACAGGGGTTTTTTGTTCATGTAAACAACACTGGAGGAAACTGAGACCCCATTTTTCTGATTTTAATCTCATACATCAAAATGTCAACGGTAGGGAGATTTTCCTTAAAGTTTAGTTATGTGGGAAACGTGTCTGTGTTGCACTTTCTAACCTGCCCAGAGTTCATGCCAGATTTATGTCACTGCAGATTTCTGTGGCCAAAGCTAGGTCTCCATAGTTTGTATCAGTCACCATCCTAATGTGTTCAGGTAAGCTAACTTTGTTCTCTGATTTGTTGGAGGAAATTAGGAGTAGCCTGCGCCCTTATGAGATCTGCATTTCCTCTATTCTGACTAGTTGGTGTATGGGCCTGACCCAGTGTTGACCCCAGAGAACATCATCTGAGTTTAGCTGGCAGCTTGCAGAAGGACTACCTTTTCAGAGACATGTTTCCCTAGATATCTGATGAATATTTCCATCGTCAAAGTCACCAGTGCAAGAACTGCCAGGTCCATGTTCTTTTGGTTTGTAAAATAATGAAGGCCCTTTTGTTTAAGTCCTCTTTAATCTTGGATGTTTTATTTACTGTATGGGGTAGGTTATAAGCAGGCTTGAGCTCTACAAGCATAAAGAGGTGCACAACTTTTATGGGGTCTCAAACTTTCTCTGCATCTGAGGGGACGGTATAGTGCTGAAATTAGCTCACCAGTTTTTTCCAAGTTTGCATTGCTGCCCACATCCTCCTAGGAAAGACTGCAGGGCTCTGATATTCATGTGAAGGCTGGATGCTGTGAGTTTTAGGAGAGAGATCAGGTTCAAGAGGAGGCAGGTGAGCCTGACCTGCGTGGCTCGTGGTTGAGCATTGGTCAAGGTTCAATTCCCAGTCAGGGCACATGCCAGGGTTGTGGGCTCCATCCCCAGTAGGGGTTCTGCAGGAGGCGGCCAATCAATGTTTCTCATCATCAATGTTTCTACCTCTCCCTCTCTCTGAAATCAATAAAAATATACTTAAAAAAGGGGGGCGGGTGCAGGTGTGACAACCTCAAGTGTTTCTGGGAGCAGCATTATTTTTCCCTTGTTCATAGGTTATGCCAGTACTTTTGGAGGGAATCACTTTCAAAGATCTTGCAAAGGACTATGTGTCCTAATGTCTACAATTCCATACGTGATGGTCACTTGGGGTTAGGGGGAAAGCTAATTGCTACAGAATCACGCCTAATAGGGATTGTGCATAATTCTTTATATGGAGATATGTTTCTTTTACCCTTGTCAATAACTCATAATGCATTGTCTGAGTCAGAGGATAGGTGAATGTTTAACTTAAAGAAATTAAGAAGTTGTCATTTAAACCAATTGTACATTTTTGCATTCTTCCAGCAGTGTGTAAGGTATTCAGTTCCTCCACATCCTAGAGAAGATTTGGTTTGGTCATTCATTCTTTATGTAAACTTTTTTTATAACTTTGTCATGCTATCTCACTCTTGTTGGATTGCATCTTTCTAAGTAAGGGTTTACGGTGAGCATTTTTTCAGATGTGCATTTGCTATCTCTCTATTTGGTAAAATGTCTGAGCATATGTTCTACCAAAACTATAAATTTTGACAATTTTCTTTAACAAAAGGTCAGTGAAACAACAAAAATGAAGGTTAGAATTTCACTCATTTTTTGTCTGTTTTGCTTTATAGGATAAATATTTTTCATACTGGAAAACAAATAAAATCAACAGTTGACTCAAGATAAGGGTCTTACTTCATTCCTTTGGATGTGAATATCCAGTTTGCCCAGCACCGTTTATTGAAGAGAAACACTCCTTTCCTGGCTGTGTATTATTGGCTCCTTTGTCAGAGAGGAGTTGGCTGTACATGCATGGGTCTAGAGCAGTGGTCGGCAAACTGCGGCTCACGAGCCACATGTGGCTCTTCCACAAAATACCGACTTCTGCACATGGGCCACGAAGTTTCAATCGCACTGTACGTGCGCTCCCGCACGTGGTATTTTGTGGAAGAGCCACACTGAAGGGGCCAAAGAGCCGCATGTGGCTCGCGAGCCGCAGTTTGCCAACCACTCGTCTAGAGGACTATTTGGAAAGAGGTCATTCTTTGTGACATCATAGGGAGCTGCAGAAGTTATCAAGATGAGGCACTAAGGAGAAGGGGAAAATGAACCAGCTTGGAACTGATCTTCACAGTCAGTTTAGAGGAAGCACTGCAATGTGGAAAGAGCCCTGAGTTGAAATTTGTGCCATCTAGATGACCTTTCAAAGAACAGGAGCTCCTTTCACCATGAGATAAATACTGTTTCTAAGAAGTAAGGTTTATTGAGCCTTTAAAATTGTAAGACAGTGGCTTACACACTTCTCGTTTCGTTTCCTCCACATTGCCATGATGTATTAGTTCTGTTATCCCCATTTTTTAGAACAGGAAGCTGAGGCGTAGCAGGGTGAGCTAAACTGTCCCAAATCACAGCTAATATGTGACACAGCCATAGACTGCTGCTCGGAGCTTCTGGGTGAAAGACACTTTCTTCCTCTCCGTTCTGCTGCCCCATTGTCAGCCACCGTCCTACTCTGTCTGTGTCTCTGTACCTGTCCTTCTGTCTCTATACTATGAAAATTGTGTTCTTGTCCATTTCTCATAGGATACCTTCTCAGCCTCCTTTTGTAGTTAACAGTTTTCTGCCTCTAGAGAACAATACCCCATTCTTCACTGTGTATGATGAGCAAGTTCCTCTTTCCCTCTTCTCCTGCAGCCATTTTCCATTGCACTGTCCCCAAATGGCATAAGCACGGGAGCCCCTCCCTCTCCCTGACCTGGGGACCTCTGTGTGAGGTATGGGGTAGCAGGAGAGGAGGGCAATGGTAAGGCCCCATCTTCTCACAGATGGGCCCCCCTGCAACACAGAGACCATCTCTCCAGAAGACAGCATCATCAGTCCAGCTGAACACACAAAAGGAAAGTTCACCTTTACCAGTAATCCCAGAATTTCTAATAAAACAGAAATGTGACACCATTTTCACTTAGCTCACCTCCTGATCCAGCAAAGAGGAAAAGGCATGCTAATTTCCGGTATTGGTGTGGGTGTGAGCCAGGTGACATATGGGTGGTTCTTGGGACCATAAACTAATAAAGCCTCACTGGCTGACAGTTCAGCTTTTTAATTTTTTAAAAACCTTAAACACACAAAAAGAAAAGAGAAAAACAAAGAAAAAAACCTTAAACGTATTTGCTTCCATTTCACCCATCAATCCAAATCCAACTATTCTCAAGAAATAACCAGACAAATTGTAAAATGAACATTAAAAGATAATGATTACATCATTGTTCATAATACAAAAAAATTGGGAGGAGCACATAAATACAAAAATGTTTTCAAAAGTGGATAAATTAGTTTGGGTACATCCATGTAATGGACTGCTTGCTTGCATTAGCAACACAGTTGACCCTTGAGCAACATAAGGGTTAGGGCACTAACCCACCCCCCACCCCCCCACACACACACACTCCTTCATAGCTGAAGATTTGGGTGTAACTGTTGACTCCCCAAAAGCTTAACTACAATCATACCTTAGTATCCACAGGGGATGGGTTCCAGGACCCCCCAGTGGATACCAAACTCCATGGTTGTTCAAGACCCTTATATAAAACTAGAGGCCTGGTGCATGGCTTTGTGGGGTCCCTCGGCTGGCCTGTGCCCTCCTGCAATCCAGGACCCCTTGGGGAATGTTGGACTGCCGGTTTCAGCCTGATCCCCACAGGCCAGGCCAAGGGACCACATGCACTGCCTCTAGTATGCATATGAGATCTTTGGTTAATCTCTTCCTGCCCTCCTCCCTCCCCCCTTCCCTCTGAGATTCATCAATCTGTTCCATGTTTCCATGCCTGTGCATTGAGTGTCTGCCCCCTGGTGGTCAGTGTGCATCATAGCTACCAGTCGAACAGACGCTTAGGCTTTTTTTTATATAGACTAGAGGCCCAGTACACAAAATTCATGTACAGGGAGCAGGGGGTGTCCTTCAGCCTGGCCTGCACCCTCTCCAATCTGGGACATCCCTCTCATAATCCAGGACCACTGTCTCCTAACCGCTCGCCTACCTGCCTGCCTGATTGCCCCTAACCCCTTCTGCCTGCCAGCCTGATCGCTCCCTAACTGCTCCCCTGCTGGCCTGATTGACACCTGACTGCTCCCCTGTCGGCCTGATCACCCACAACTGCCTCCCCTGCCACGACCTGTCTCCTCTGCCAGGACCCACCTCCTCTACGCGAGGCGGTAGAGACACCAGGACGGGTCTCCGCCATGCCATGCAGAGCCGCAGGACCCCCAGGCCTCACCACACGGAGCAGCCTCCGGGCCCCGCCTCTGCTATGCGTGTGGCCATCTTCTGACGGCCATCTTGTGACGACCTGAGGACGTGACGCCACCTAGGCTATTATTAGTATAGATGACATAGAACAGTGCCTACAGTCACCCCTCCACATCTGCAGATCCCCAACCTCAGATAAAAAATACTGTTTTTGATCCTCAGTTGGTTGAATCCATGAATACAAAACCTGGGGGTATAGGGCTGACTGTGTACTTATTGGAAAAAAAACATGTATAAGTGGACCCACACAGTTCAGATTTGATTTTCTGTGAGAAGCTTCAAGGTAAATTCAAGTCTGTGGTAGCATAACCTGCTTGGCAATTTATACTGTTTCTTTTCAGGTATGAACCATCCACAAACTAGGGATATTCAAAGGAGTATCTAAAAGATCCGCAAGGAGCATGGATAGTTTTATAACAGGTAAAGCAAACAGGGTTCTCCGTTGGT